TTTATGGGATGGCATTGAAAATAAGGTCTGTGCTTTCGTGAAGCTACGACCAGCGCCAGAGCCAGTTTTTCAAGGTGTGGGTACCTCGTCTCAGCATCTACTAAAGTTTTGCTGATATAATAAATAGGGGATTGCGTACCTTTGTTTCGCGGACCAAGACGGCGCTGACAGCGACTTCGGACACTACCATATACACAAGTAGGCACTCGCCTGGGTCTGCTTTGACGAGCAGTGGCGGCGAAGATAGATATGCCTTCAATTTCCTTAGGGCCTCGACGCATTCCTCGTTCCATTGTAGCCCATGATCTTTCCTCAGCACACTAAAGAATTTGTGGCATCTGTTCGAGGACCGCGAGATGAACCTTGATAAGGCAGCTATTCGCCCCGTTAGTTTCTGTACCTGCTTATTGCTGTTCAGAACCTCGGGTATTGTGTCTATGGCCTTGATCTGGTCCGGGTTGACTTCGATACCTCGTTGTGATGCGAGAAAGCCTAGAAATTTTCCCGAGGCCACGCCGAAGGCACATTTTTCTGGGTTCAACTTCATCCCATACCTCCTCAGTATCTCGAAGGCTTGCTTTAAATGGTCGATATGGTCCTCCTTCTTTACCGATTTTACTAACATGTCGTCGATATAAACCTCCATTGTCTTACCGAGCTGTTCCTTGAACATCTTGGTGATCAACCTTTGGTACGTTGCACCCGCGTTTTTCAGTCCGAAGGGCATCACTTTATAGCAGTACGTCCCTTGATGGGTGATGAAAGTTGTCTTTTCTTGGTCATATTTGGCCATTAGGATTTGGTTATAGCCAGAGTAAGCGTCCAAGAAGCTTAGCAGTTCGTGCCCTGCTGTTGCGTCGATCAGCTGGTCGATATGGGGCAATAGGAAGGAGTCATTTGGGCATGCCTTGTTCAGGTCGGTGAAGTCCACGCACATTCTCCATTTCCCGCTTTTCTTTTTAACCATGACCACTTTGGCGACCCATTGGGGGTATTTTGATTCTCTGATGGAACCGTTGGCTAGTAGTTTATCTACCTCTTCACTGACTGCCTCGTTGATTGCGGCGTTGAATTTCCTCCTTATCTGCCGTACGACCGAATAAAGTGGGTCGACGTTCAGCTTGTGAGTGGCGATGTCTTTTGGGATCCCCGGCATATCTGAATGAGAGAAGGCAAATAAATCTGTATGGTTAGTTAAGAATTTGTGGTACTTACCTGGGTCGGAGAGGTTGTGCCCGATGTAGGCTTTCTTTGAACTGTCGGTACCGTCCAGCTGGACCGGGTTGAGGTTCTCGACTGTCGCTTTGCAAGCTTCTACGACATCTAGGTCCCTAATGACCTCTGTCGTCGGGTTGATTTTGGTTCCCGACATGGCTGATTGTTATGCTTCCGCGCTTGCTCCCTTCAACTGTTTGGTATGTGTGCAGTCTTGGGCGATTCGTTAACATTCCTGGGCGGTACGTGGCTCATCTCGAATGCTGAATATTCCCCATGGGGTGGGAAATTTGATTACTTGATAGAAACTCAAGGGGATGGCTCGCATGGCGTGTATCCATGGACACCCTATGATGACGTTGTAGGCCGTTTCCTGATTCATGATGTGGAATGTGGTTTCCAGCGTGACTCCTCCCGCCAAGACTAGCAGTGATATCTCTCCGGAGGTTCGCTCTACTGCATTGTTAAAACCCGTTAGTTTTATGCAACGCGGTATTATCTTATCTTCGAGCCTCATTTGCATGAGGACTCTTGGGTGGATAATACACGCGCCACTTCCGTCGTCTACCATGATTCTTTTCACATTAGTATCAGCAATGCGTAAAGTTATAACTAAAGCATCGTAATGAGGGAAAGACAAACCATCGGCATCAGACTTATCGAAGGTGATACTATCTTCGAAGTCATCATACCGTTCGTGAGCGATCGTGCGCTTCAACTTGTGTGTGGTGGTGAACTTTACATGGTTGATTGCCGAGTTGTCGCCACCACCGACGATCATCTGTATGGTGCATGCTGGAGAAGGTGGTTTTGGTGGTCCTCGGGATTGGTCGCGTCCTCTGGCGAAATTAGCCCTTCCTTTATCGCTGAGCAGCTTCTTCAGGTATCCCTGGTTCAACATTCTAACCACCTCCTGTCGTAGACCTATGCAATCTTCGGTCTTGTGTCCTCTTTCCTGATGGAATTCGCATAGGACGTTCGACCTCCTTGCACTAGGATCTGATTTCATTTTTTGTGGCCACTGCACCTTCGTGCCCAGCTTCTCCAGTGCGTACACTATTTCTGAAGGGGAGACACAAAAGTTATGTGCGGATAATAATGGGGGCATACCTCTTTCATTCCGAAGCGGGGCGGCATGTCGCTGCACGACATCTGGATGTCTTGGAGGAGGCGGATTGGGAGTTCTGACGTAAGGCTGATGCCTTTCTCTATTGAAGCGTGGGAGTGGTTCCGTTGCCCGTCGTTGCGTCGATCCCTCCTTACTTCTGATTGTACTGACGTTAGTCGTTGGGTTGGACCGTTAAGATCGTCTTCATCCGCTCTCACTTCGGCGCAATAGGCATTATGAATCTCTTCCCACGTGGTGGGGGGATACTTCATGAGTCGGTTGAGCAGCTTCTTGGTTGCTTTTGATCCATCTCTGTTCAACCCGTTTTGGAAAGCTGCGACCGCCATTCCTTCTGATACGTTTGGCAGTCCCATTCTTACCCTATTGAATCAGGCCAGGAAGTCCCTGAGTCCTTCACCCGTTGTTTGCCTGATGGCGAAGATATCGTTGACCCTAGCTTCGGCCTTCTTTGCTCCTGCATGAGCGGTGGCGAACTTGTCCGCCATCTCTTCGAACGTCGATATCGATCTGGCTGGCAGTTGAGAGTACCATGTTAGCGCTCCTCCTGTCAAAGTTTCACCAAACTTTTTCAGCAACACAGATGGTACCTGTTCTTTCGATAGTTCATTGCCTTTTACAGCGGTCACATAATGGATCAGATGGTCTTCCGGATCCGTGGTCCTATCGTATATTTTCAAGTACGGTGGCATCTTGAAGGTTTTAGGGATTGGGTGAGGAGCAGCTTCCTCACTATACGGTTGCTCGACGAACCTTCCCACATCGCGTTTCGGTAGTAGCTTAGGGGCACCAGGTATCTTGTCTACCGTTTCCTGGTGCTCCTTCGTTTGATCACGAAGCGCTTTATTCTCGTTCTCCATTTCTTCCATTTTCTTAAGGATGGTTGCGAGCGCATCATCGCTTGCATTGGTATCGGTGTGGGCATTACTTGTTCGTACAACACTGGGCTCACCAGCGGCAGCGGCGATTTCTGCCATTGACAAATCTTTGATATTTCCCTGAGGTGGTTTCTCGAGCATGCTACTTAAAGTGTTCGTCAACCATTCCTCTAGTAGCTTTTTGACTACTGGGGGCATTTCCTTTGCTGCAGATGTAGAAGTCCCTCTTTCATGCAAAATCGTTAGATCTTCGAGTGAAGAGGGTGAGATCTCCCCCTCCGGTACACTACTTGGTGTTACATTCACGGTATTTTCTCTACCGGCTTCGTTGAGTGGGCCTATGAGGTTGGTTGAGACATTTGCTATCATTTTCAGCCTTGATTCTTTATCTGCCATTTGTTAGTTTCTATGAAGTCTGAAGAACAGTGATTGTTGTTTTCGATATCCTAGATGTGAACTATGGTTTCGACTACCGAAATCCCCACAGTCGGCGCCAAATTATTTGACTCAAAAGTTGTTTAACACTTTTTAAGCAAATCAATCAATATAGATGAAGGGGTAAATCATAACCGAAGATAATAAACCCTAGGATGATCTTGGCAATTGGTTCAGACAACAATAATACAAATCGGAGAGAGAGAGAAGGTGATAATCTTCGAGAGATAAGAGAGAGATAATGTTAGAGAGATGAGAGAGCGAGAGAGCTTGTATTTCCAATAATGAATCCTCCCATTTACAAGGCTCGGACCCCCCCCCCCCTTTATATAATAGAGGATCCTTACTTAAATATTAAAAGACAGAAATAAAGTACATGCTATAGAGGGACCGACGTGATCATGAAGTCGTCCCTCTTATTATTCCTAAGTCGTCCTTCTAGCCGGACTCACATATATTCGGTCGGTCATGCTGGCTTAGGGACGTGGTCGGTCAAATTCGACCCTATACAAACATGCAAAATGTATATTTTTTTGTTATTATTTTGAGAGCGGCTATACAATATTATTTTCCCAAATTTGTACGCTCAAAGTGAACCAACCGAAAGTAGGTTCTTTTTGTGTAAGGATTAATGTCTACACTTGTACGTTCGTTTTCTGAATGTCTTGAGTTTTCTTGTGACGTGTTTTATTGCCACAACACAATTAGCTAAGAGGGTAGGATACTCAATGATCAAGAAAAATCAGATCTTGGGTGTCGTTTTAAAAAGGGACCATTGGACAAATATGTCAATTCTCATAACATATCTTTGAATACAATTATCGAAAACTAATAGTGTCTAAATCATTTGCATTAATGAAGATCTGACACGTTAAAGATAATTATAAAGCTATATGATAATGATTTGGCATAAATAATTGCCTATCACTATAGGAATTATGTTTTTGCCTGCTTTGTCAATTTGAAATATGATAAAAGCAACATAATGAAATGAAGATGTTCCACAAGTTGTGAACCCCACCACATGCAAGGCTCTTTTGCAGCCTCATTTATTTCTTGTGAAAGAGACTAAAATATACATTTATTTCGCTTCAGTTTCCTTATCATGTCATCTTGCTAATTGTCTATGTTTCGTTGCTACTGTTTCCTTTTTACTTTTTTCTTCGAGCCGAAGATCAATCGGAAACAGCCTCTCTATCTTTATGAGGTAGGAGTAAAGTCTGCGTACATACTACCCTTGTGCGTACACACTGCCCTCTCCAAACCCCACTTGTGAGATTACAATGAATTTGTGTTATTGAGCTAAATTTGTTGGCACTCTGAAAAATTAAAGAATACACAAACAATTACTTTATGATATATCAACCTTACCATGATAATATCTTAAAGAAAATTAGACTTTACAGTTGGACTTTAACCGCGAGTGCACAAACCAAACCCCAAATGGATCATAAACATAACATACTAGGATGCTGCAGCAAAATTATATATCCTTAGACTTACAGAAACGAATTTATATTACAACAAATATAATTGAATGATAAGGTTAGGGTCTAGGCCTCTCTTCAGAAAATCTTGGAAGCTGAACGAGAGAGTTTACCCGAGTGACACCTTCTAATCCTGACCAGTTCTGATCTTCAGTTGCCACAGTTTCTTGATTTGCTTCTGCTTCGGCTACAATTCGTTTGTAGGCGCTGTTCTCTTCAGCTGATCTGACGGTGAAGTTTCTCTGAAGAGATGGCTCGGAATTCTGTCCATCGTCTGATTCTACAGCATTACCAGAATGGTTGCTCTGAAGTGTAGCCGAAGAGAAACATTGGTCTTCGTTGTCAGATTCAACGTCCATTTTCCCGTCCAAGAATAGGCACACAACTGCACAATCATCCATCTTTGATGTTGGATATTTGGTTTTCCACTCGCGTGCAGCTGAGTCAACCAGGATTCTGGCAGCTGACGCTCGTGTAGGGGCTGACGACACTATCTCAACCACTTCCTCGTTACTCAAGACGTCCCAAACCTGCAGCCATATAAATCTTCAACTCAGAAACAGTAAATGATGCCAAAGCCTCCGATTTTTAAGTAATGGATAGTAGTTAAATGCATTTTTCTAAACGCTAGCCTTTGCCAGGGAACTCTTTTAATTGGTTCACCAGTCCTAGCATGGACCAGATACTGGATCACAGCTCGGTTCTTTGGATCTGAAAATATTCTCAAAGTCCATAAAAGAGAGTTCAGGTTCATCTTTAATGAAAGCCCCGGAGAGAAGCACTATTAGATAAGGATTGGAGGGAAAACAGAAAATCGCTTTGACAAGAGGCAACATATGACCAAGATGAAAGCAAATCACATATCTTCTAGGGATCGAAAAGCTCTATACAGTAGCCTAATCGAAAGAACTTCAAATGGAAAAAAGAAAAAAGAGCAACAAAGCCTTCCCTCAAGAATATTGCAGGAAAAATAAATGCTAACAGGAATCACCAAGGAAAATTTCCAACCACGTTCTGTTTACTTCAACTAAAGAATAAGAAAAAGTCCGTACTGAAACAAGGCATTGCTTAAGGAAGCAGTAGAGTAGGAGTTCCAATAAGGAAGGATTGTCTTTCCAGATCTAATCTAGTAATCAGAAATTCCTGTTCATATTTTCCAATCTAGACTGCAGTGAAGTTAGAAGTTAGTATTTCATATTTGATACAAGTGGTGTAGCTCATTTCATCCAGTTACCAGAATCAGGAAACAGAACTCTCGTTGAGTACAATATCCATTAGGTTATCCAATGGAAAAGCTATGTCTCTGTCATCACTCATCAGAACTCCGCATTAATCATGTCATTAGCAACTAAGGAAATAAAGGGATCTTGAAAGTTTCAGGATGAAAAAATCATGCCCAAAAAGACAATTGTCTGGAGATTTATTTCAGGAGATAGAGTTCCAGGATTGAGATGGAAACAGAATCAACCATTTCGTGGAAAAGGAAGTATATAGAAATTCAACAAGCTCACCTTTAGTTTCCTTACAGGAATTTCAAAAAGATAATAAAGTATACAGAAGTAGTTCGTGTGTAATAATTTGGAAACCAAAACAGTGAATGATTTAACTAAACATTCTTAATATACGATGCAATTCGAAGCTCCTTGCCTCCAGCAACAGGAGCAGTCTTTTATTTAGAATAAACTCTACAGCTGTCAAATATCCCTAAAAATGTTATTAGCAGTTAAGCTAAGTGCACTCTTTACAGAGTCTTGGCAATGCAGATGCTAAAACTAATCACAGGTCCTTTCGCAAATCCAGCTGAATGTTAATACCTCGTGCAAAAATCAACCAGATTTTAAGGACCAGCTTCTCCCCTGTCTTCCCCCAAACAAGAAAGCCCCAGAAGAGACCGCCTATCGAAACAGGATGAGCTAATACCTTTCAAAGTACACAGGTGATTGTTACCTATGAGGAGTCTAGACACATTTAATTAAAGAAACTCAGACTCCGTTCCTCTAAAGACAAGATATGAACGTCTATCCAACCAGCGGATTTGCATACAACCTAAATACTTCTTTCTTCCGCCAAAATAGAAAGGTATTGACTAGCCAACCTAACTTGAACAGTGACCTAATACCTTTATAGTTTATACCATACTAACAAAAGAAAGCCACTTCACAACGGATCATAAGATTTACAAGAATGGCAACTGAATGTGGTAACAATTGCTGGGAACTTAAACTCTGAATTTCTAACTGACAAAGGAAGTTCAATAGGCAAGCTTATATATGCTGAATCATATTTTCCATTTAGTTGCGCACTTTTAGGAGATGAATTGTCAACATTATATTTCACAGTTACCTCTTTTCTCCATATCATTAAATGTTGCCCATTTCAAACAAGTCAAAAAAATCTAAGATACACAAAGGTTGTCACAATCATCAAAATACAACTACTGCAATTAACAGGGTAGATGGTTACAGAAATCTTATTAGCATTTGATAAAGCTCGACATGCTTCATTTGAGTTTAGATTAAACTACTTCGACAAAATGATATCTAAGCTAGCAAACTATATAAAGATTTCGAGATGCATACCCCATCAGAAGCTAGAACAATGAACTTGTCCCTTTCGGTAAGAATATGGTGAGAAAACTCTGGAACAGAAATCACACCATATTCCTTCAAGCAGAAATCCCCAAATGCCCGAGCCATTGCTAAACCAGGGGCATCATCAAATGGCAGCCAGACTCTCTGCACCTCAGGCTCATCTTGCAATGCAAAAACCCGACCTTTACATCGTTTTATCCTCTCAGCTTCCTCTGGCACACAAAACACTATATCAACAAAGAGAACCCAGAAAGAGATCACATACCGTAAAAGATTGGCTATAATATAGACATACTGGGTAAATCGGGCTTCAGATCAACAGTCAATTGAACTGCTACCAATGAATCATTATTGTCCTTTGATGCCAAGATTGCCCGAGAATCACCAATATAGCCCATAAACAGATTTGCACCCTTGTGACACAAAATATTAATAACAAGCTTAGAAGAAAAGAGAATTGAATGAAATTCCATGGACATTGATAACCAAATGCAACTGGTTACCTGTTTCACCAGAGTAATGGCCGTGCTCCCACTGCAAAAGCAATCTAAATTAGGGTGGGACCTTAGTTCTTTATCCATGGCCTTGTATGATTTAAGGAAAGCTTCTCTCCACAAGTTATCCACTTTATCCTCCATCCCTTCATCCTTATCAGGATCCACCACATCCAACTTTGGATTACCATTGCAGCAATTCGAAGTAGAACCATTACGTTTTGCGTCAAATGATTGTAAAAATGATGATAGCTTCAACGGCAGCGCATCCCTTACTTTGCGAGCAACAAGATGGCCATGTGGACCATGGCCATCAAATACCCCACAAAAGGTCACATCTTCAGCCATGAAATCCTGCAAAATATAAACATAAATCTAACATAACTCATTCGAAAGACACAAGAGTAGTTCTAGACAAGCGAGCAGGACTTACTTCCCACACAATCATGGCGTCCTGGTTTATGCCTTTACGTCCCTGTTGAGTGAATATGCAAGAAGTCCGGCTCTTTCCATTCTTGAATATCCGGTTAGGTATTGAAGACAAATGTTGCAATGTAGTGACAGGATCAGAAAAAGTTTTTCTAATCCTCTTTCGAGTAAACATCCCTATTCCCAAACATTCAGGGGAAACTCTTTCTCCGTTGCTCCTGCTACTACAACTACTCCGGCTACTTGTAGAGACACAACCCCCCATTTTCTCAGACCCACAAAGAGACCATCTGATCCACAACTAAAGAAATGTTCTGGGTCTCACCAAGTTCACGGATCAGATTGTATTCTCAACTAAGCAAAAAACTGTCGAACTCGCAAGCATCCAACGCAGCAAACAGCGGTTCCACTTAATATAGAAAACAATGTTCTATTTTATCTTGGTCAAAGTATTGCCACTGAACAAGGCGTGAACTGATAAACGAACACAGCTAAACAACAGAAGAAGAGATTAATTAATGTAATTGTTTATTCAATACTAGTACTACATAACAAAATGGATATGGCTGCAAATATGGAAACTAGACTAACCAACCAACACATAGATTAAAAGATTTTGCATGCGAATCAATGAATATACTAATATACACACCAAGCTGTCTTAAGCTTTCGTCATTCAATGGGAATCTCAAATTATACAAATCAAATTTGAGAGATTTTATGCACCCTTAGTCCTCAAATAAACAAATAAAGCTAAGATGACAGAAAAACAGGATATTCTTGGAAACATAATAAGAAAACACACAATAACAGGAAACGACTCAAACGAGGTAGCCTTCATAGTTGTCAAAGCTTGATTTATTACCCAAAAATTTTCTAATCTGTCACCATATTCACAAAATCAGAACTTATCCACAAAAGCTTTAGCTTTAGACTTTAGTAATAAGTAAAGAAAAGATATTTATCAGAATCCAAGTTCCAAAATTGTTATTTTTAAGAGATCTTATAGAGAGAGAAGGATAAGAGAAGTAAAATTTTAATGGGTGGATTTGTAGCATAAATATACTGTAAAAGAAAACAAAGGAGAAAGATTCTAAAGAAACCTGAAAAAGAAAAGTTACTGCACACAAATGTCAAAAAGTTTCAACCTTTCACACAAATGTCAAATTTTCAGTCTTTTCCAGTTCTGATAAAATTCGAATTTTCGCACTACATAGTGGAGCAGACACGATAAAGTAAAAGAGTTTGAACAAAGTGGTAGATTTGTCGACACAAAATCTTTTTACGTAATCCCAAAAGTAAAACAGCATTAGATCAACGTATTATCACTTGGAAAAGTAAGAAAAAATAATTCATAGGAGAATTTAAGTTTGGAAGTGAATAAAAATATTTAAAAAGATAAAAAATAAATCCTTTTTCAAGCCATTAAAACCCAAGTGTTAGAAATTATCAAGAACATGAAATGCAAATTGTGGGAAAGTAGTAAACAGAGAAAATGAAGGCTGATGAGATTTTTGAACATTTCAAAAGCCAAAGAGCTGTACAAATGGAGAGCTGGTTATAATGGTACCCTTCAACTTAGTTTACTGATATTCAAGTTTTGTGAGAGATGGGATCAAGAATGTGCCATTATAAGTGAAGAGTACTCTCTTGTTCAAACTTTTACTTGCTCTTTTAGGAAGAGAAAAGGAGAAATGGAGAGTGACAAGTACGGGAATAGATAGGAGTTGGCACCAATTAATTGAAAAAGCATGAAAGAGGAAGCGCTTACTCTGATTTGGGAAGAAAAGGAAATACTGAGCGGTCTGTTAGGCTGTATATAACTCTGATTACACAACGCCCCAACCAAATGATGAAGTTTGAGATGTCAGTTGTACGCTTATTTCTTTAAGGATTCAAGTTATATGATGTAACTATTTTCTCAATTACATTATTTAATATTTATTAAAGTACAAAATTGTAATGAGCCAAAGGGTCATCTTTTGTTTTAGAATCCGAATCCGGGTTCCGAGGCCTTGAAACCTCATTTTCTTTTCTTTTTTTCGATTTGCGTGCGCAGTCCGTGCGCGTTTCCAGAAAGCCTTTATGTGAAATTTAAGAAAAATATTGAATTTTGCCTTTAAAATTAATTAAAGTTGACTTCGGTCAATATTTTTGGTAAACGGACCCACCCGTGATTTGACGGTCCCGTAGGGTCCGTAATAAAATATGGGACTTGGGCTTATGCCCGGAATCGAATTTCGAGATACCTAGCCCGAGAAATGAATTTTTGAAGAAAATTATTTGTTGGAAAATATAAGGATCTTTAGAAATGGAATAGTGTGTGAACCATTGGTATCGGGCTCGTATTTTGGTTCCGGAGCCCGGTAGAGGGTTGATATGGTATTTAAGTCGTGTCTGTGAAATTTGGTGAGAAACGAGACTGGTTTGACGTGATTTGGACGTCCGGTTGCGAAAATAGAAATTTCAAGTGTTCTTAAGAAAATCATGAGTTTTGGTGTTAAATTCGTTGTTTAAGATGTTATTTTGGCGATTTGATCGCACGAGCAAGTCCGTATGATGTTTTTAGACTTGTATGCATGTTTAGTTTAGAGCCCCAAGGGTTCGGGTGAATTTTGGATAGGCCACGGAGTGAGTCTGAACTTAACAAATATGTTGTTGCATCTGATACCTGTTGCAGGGCTCTGTGGCTTCGCATTTGCGAGCTTCTCAGTCTTGGCAATTGCGATGTTTTTATCGCAATTGGGAAGAAGACCTGAGCCAGCATAGTTCGCAATTGCGAACATATCTTCGCATTTGCGAAGTCATCAGGGAGTGGAATCATCGCAATTGCGACCAAAGGTTCGCAATTGCGACAGTAGCAGACATGCAGCAGGTTCGCATTTGCGATTCCCGTCTCGCATTTGCGAGTTTCGCAATTGTGAATCTCAGATCGCAAATGCGACATCCGCAACTGATCAAAACATGACTTAGACGGGATTTCAACTTATTTTCTCAAAATTTCAAACCCTAAGCTCCCGTAGGCGATTTTCCAAAGAAGAGTTCTTCCCCAAATCATAGGTAAACGATTTCTAACTCATTTCCTTCAATGTATTTCTTCTTTCTACAAGATTTCATCACAATATCTAGGGTTTTTCATGGGAAATTGGGTGTTTTTGGGTAGAATTTAGGAATTTTAAAATTTGGCGATTTAGACCTCAAATTGAGGTCGGATTTCAAAACCAATTGCATATTTGGGCTCGTGGGTGATTGGATAATCGGGTTTTGGTCCGAACTTCGAGTTTTGACCAAGCGGGCCCGGGGTCGATTTTTGACTTTTTGGAAAAAATATTTGGAAATCTATAATCATGCATTAGAATTGGTTTATTTGGCGTTAATTGATGTTAATTAGTTAATTATGAATAGATTCGGGCGAATTGGAAGTGGAATCTATAGGAAAAGTGGTATTTGAAGCTTGAGTTTGGCTGTGGAATCGAGGTGAGTGTTGTGGCTAACTTTAGCTTGAGGGATTAGGTGTTGTTGTCCTATTTGCTACGTGTTAGTGGTTGAGTACGACGTATAGGTGTGGTGACGAGTATTTATACGTTGATGTTGAGTCACGGCATGCAAGTGAGTCTTATACTGTGATCGTTGTGTCTCTTATTACGTACTGTTCATGCTTAAACTGATTATTCTCCATGTTGGACGAGTCTTATGATATATTCTTGGTATTGGATAATTGTTGAGTGTTGACTCAAGTTGAGACTTATATTGTGAAGTTAACTGTTGAAGTGAGATTTGTTATTGTTAATTCCCTTGCCTTGATGTTATTGTTTCTACTGTTTGGGTGAGGAAGAGTGTAAAGCATGAAGGGTGATGTCGTGTACGATATTGTCGGTAAGTGTAAAGCACGAAAGGTGATGTCGTGCCATATTCTGTGAGTGTTAATGCACGAAGGGTGATGCCGTGCCATGATTATGAGAGAGATAATGCACGAAGGGTGATACCGTGCGATTCTGTTGTTTCTTATGGTGAGGACGAGAGTGAAAGCACGAAGGGTGATGCCGTGCACGTATTACTATGTCATTATTTCGGTTGGTTCAAATATGATATTTACTTTGCTTCTTTATTGTATTACTGTCAGAATCTGATATTCCCCTAGCATGTTTCCCCTTTCCGTTTTGTTTTTGTTGAAATTCTGTTATTATTACCTGCTCGTATATGATTTAACTGTACATGTTTATATTGTTGTCATGTCCTAGCCTCGTCACTACTTCGCCGAGGTTAGGCTCGACACTTACCAGTACATGGGGTCGATTGTACTGATACTGCACTCTGCACTTTCTGTGCAGATTTCGGTGCCGGTCCTCGTGAGTAAAGTTTGGGTTGCTGCCTTCAGTCCACATGAGATCCAAGGTAGATCTGCCAGCGTTCGCAGACCCTGGAGTCCCCTTCCCTTTATCTTGGATTTCCTGTCTCTTTCCGTTTTGAGAACAGATGTACTTCTTTTAAACCAGTATTTGTAGAATTTCTTAGACGTTCGTAGATTGTTACACCAGATCATTGGGGTAGTCATGTATTAGAGTTTTTGAACTGTTATAAAGCTTCCGCACTTTATATCTGCTTAGCTTTAGTTATTATTTATTTCTGTTTTGGTTAATAATTAATGTGTTAGAGTTGTATATGTTGGCTTGCCTAGCTTTCAAGAGTATGAGCCATCACGATTCCGGCGATGGGGAATTCGGGTCGTGGAAAAAACTTTATACATATATTTACCTTTAAAATATTTTTTTTATTATTCTTGCTTAAAACTAAAACCTTCTAAAAATACTTGAGGTGACACCTGTTTCTTTGAAATTTTGCAAGAAGTAATTTTCATGATTTAACTTCAAGTAAAACTCTTTTACCAAAAATTTATTAGTGGAGCATATAAGTAAGAAAATTTATTATTGCAAAAACTGAAAAAACTCCTATGGGGAGTAAGTTTGATTCATTTTGCAAACTTGTAGAACGTATGGTTGTACATGAACGTAATAAAATGAGTCAAAACATGTACTAATATTTATATTTTCTAAGTAACGAAACATAAATGCGATATTATCTATTTATAGGGGCAGTTGTAGCAATTATAAGATCGTCAAGTCGACAGAAGATTTACGTGCAGATAGGTTAAAGTACAAAACATCTTTAAAACTATATAATATCACAATAAGGTCTGAAAAAGCAAGAAATTAGGTTATGATCATGACAGACATGATGTATTAACTATCCTTTTTTTCCTATTGATCATATCATAGGTCAAGGATGGAACGAAGAACCTACGTTTTTCTTCCTCCTCTGTTCTCTACTAAGATTGTAATAGATTCGTGCTTCCTGGCCACTTAAACTTGTCGGATTTTTTAAAGCCGATACATAAACTTATAGTTTTCCCATTTGAACACTCGAATTCGTTTTTTCCATAACTAATAAACACATCTGACCATTGACCATGTGCGCGTATATTACACATACACCTACGTGTCCATCCAGTCAGCAAATGACCAATGGATGTCTTACACGTAAGGGCGCGAAAAGTCAAGCAGCAACTCCTTCTCTTTGACTGCTTTAGCGTTCTTCTTCATCAACCATTTCAAGCTAATTCCAACACCCCTAGCAACAGAAGAACGCTTATCTCTTCCTCCGCTGCTGCTTGTTTTGATTCCTATGTCAAGTTGTTTAGCTCCTTGTTCCTTTGATTGAAGATGAATGAAGCATCAGTTTGGATGAAAAACACGACGTCAAGTAAACTTCAGAACATCACTTGATTGAAAAATACAAATCTCTCATTGTCGACACTTAATTTAAAAATTACTAGCAGCAAATCTCCTGAATTAAAAGCACCTCGCAAGTGAAATTTTAATGTTCAACAGATAACATATTGCCATCAAGAGAGAGCTAGGATATTCAGGGACTTCGGACAAAATTGACCAAAAAGTCCAAATTCTTTCCTATCTAATTCAACCACCAAATCATCTCAATCCTAGCCAGTATCCTATTTCTCTTTCTATGGAAGTATTGTACTCCATATGGCATTGGGACTTACACGTGAAGTCACTGCCTTAATTAACCTATTCCTACCTTATTTGGAAAAGGTTAGCAACTAAGGTATATGTCACTATATATACATGATAGCTTCACGTAGGAGTGTGTGAGAAAAACGAAAGAAAAGGCCACAAAATAAGAGATATATTCCTGACAAGAAAATCAATTTTCTTGTCGCATTATTTGCTGGAGTTTTGAGAAAACTTCAGCGCAAGTTTTACATTAAATTTGTTCGCGGGTTTCATTGATCAAAGAGTTGATAGCAAGGATCAGTCTCGGTGTGGATACGCATAGAGTCTTCGCACTATCGAAGAAAATTTAAAACGAGACTCTCTTTACCAGGTACGTCTTAGATCCGATCTTTGACATGTAAATAAATTTTAAACACGAAAAGATCTGCCTAGGATTGTTATTGTCTTCCGGTGCGTGTTACGAACACCTATACGCAATCCTTCAGTGGTATCAGAGCCGTGGTTTATTGTGTCTAAAATTTATTTACGAAATATTTTAATATTATATTTGAAGAGTTCAAACCATAATACATGTGTCTTGTGCAATAGTCAAATCGTTTGAATGTTGATATTATTTTATTGTGGATAAAATATGCATTCATATAACTATTGAGATAGTTCATAACTTGAATTTGAAATTTTGTATTAGATACAATGGGAATCTATAATAGGTTACATGATTCTATTGTTATTT